CAGGAGGCTTCATATTTGCAATTTTAACGCCCAAATAGTAGAACCAGAAGCAATATGAGATAGAGGACTGAAATAAAGGAGAATGGAAAAACTGATTCCCTAAACCAAGCAGCAGTGTAGAGAAAATGCAGAAGGGACCCAACGGCTTCCAAAATTGTTGAGGTGACAGCACCCCGAACCAAAAGTGTCCCAGAGGAACTCAAGGTCAGTCAATGAGAGGATCCACCAAATCCAACGGGTGAGCGAAGATGCAGAAACAGTCCAAAACGGCCGTACGCAGAAATAAGCAGCTGTCCATGAGTAGACGGACGAAAGAACCAGATCCTGGATCTACATGGTCGTGTACAATCTGTCAACAGAGCTGTGGCCTATCCGGAGAATAGGGGTACGACACAGAGGACGAATAAAAATGAAATATGTGTTGTGCAGAAGCCGATGTACTGAACGGCAAGAAGGAAGAAGACACGTCGATACCATGACGTCAGAACGCGATGAAATACAAGATGTACTGGGGGGAAACCGTAAGCGGAAAAAACTGTCGAGAGATAGGGCTCCCGTACGGTATACTCCTCTTGGTAGACTGCAGACCAAGAGATCCTTAGCAATGCCAGAATCTTGAGAAAACGCACATGAGTCGTCCACTAGCTGACATAGGACGTGAATGGCCCCATACGATCCTACCCTGAGAGGGCAACTCAGCCAGACAATGGGGACAGCCATGATAAGGACCGCCATTGGGACCCAAACACAAGTCGTGGCAGGCTACCCCTGTGGATCCCACGTGGGACATTAAGAGACAGGGAGTCGTAGATTGCCTTCCCATGGCAAACTCCAGCAAAAAGGGGAAAGCACGCAGGACTCCTCCGAAGTGGTTTGGCCAGGCGAAACGACACTTCCAGGAATTCGGTCTGAAGCAAAACCCAAAGTATCCTCTAGGTAAACGGGATGCGTACGCCCCGAAGGAGACCAAGCTTGGAAAACTCGTCCCTCGCCTCGCTGAGGGTCCGGCAGCCAGTTGGAGAACCGCTCCATATGGCGGTTCGCACCGAATGTAATCATGCCAGTACTCGAGACCCTGGAGGGTGAGGCAACCAATCATTGGGGTCTCTCCATGGCCGGGTGAAGCCGAGTGTCTCGTCCCGCATACATTCTGTCACAAATGACGAATACTTGTCCAGAAGCTATAGATAGCGATCCTATGTGAGATCCGACTGCAGTCCGTAGTGGGCAACCGGTGAGAAGTCCATGCCGGAAGGTAGCGAGCAATACTGTGAATGTTGAACAAACCTGCAGGTAGGTCCATGCAGTTGGCGTAAAGGAGTCCCTCCTCCGGAGTCATCAATTAAGTCTTAGATGAGCTTCATCCGAAGGTCACATGATTTGGTCATACCAGGCCAAAGACCCGAGAAAGCGCCATGTTGGAGCGGCTGATAGTACCGGATCCTTGAGGTATGGCTTCCATGGCGAATAGGCACCGGTCAATTAACCGGGTTGGGCCCCTAAGTGTAACCCGCAGGTTGCGAAGCATATACCTGGTATTTTCATTGAAGACGGACATCTTGGTCCTCGGGAGGCGGAGCACCGCCTGGACCGAATATTCCATGAAAGACCGGAAACTGGGTTGACTTGGAGTGAGTCAGATTCAATATGTCCATGTTGATGGCAAAATCCATGCGGGTTTCTCTCATGTGCATTTGAGGGAGAGAACCAATCGTCAACGCCGAGCAGCTCTCAGAGGGGATGAGTGCCCTCCGTCTCAAAATGTGTCAACAGACGACATGCACTGGGAGCATGTAGCGTGGGGATGGGGCGGGAGTCCACTCCACCGCACCCTTTGCCCAGCAGGGCAACTGCGGAATGAGTCGGAATGGATGCCTCTTTTGGTCATGCGTATCGCTCATGGAACGGTCCAAGGTTCCGCAACCTTGATCTGGAGTCCGGGCATGGCCAGAGAGACCTCTGGGGCTAGTTAAGGGGGAACCCTATGAATAGAGACATGTCGGCTCAATTTGTACACGAGGGTAACTCCGGAGAGCAGACCCAGCACTTGGATGCTAAATCCATCAGTTTGATGTCCAGCTTGGACAGGGGCCGTTTTGCGGTTCTCAGGGGTAGAAACCAACTAGGCGATACCTATAAGTCATATCGGTCCATTCCCAGTGGGAATTTAGTCTTCTCCGCTTTCCAAGCGGTAACGTGCCGTTCGTCCCAAGGAAACATCTGTGTCCGCGTGTCACCGACATCCACTGGTTAGTCCCAGATAGAGTGCAAACCCCGTGTCAGGTGTTTGCGGTGTCCTTTCCGGACTCCGTCATGAAGACTGATCCTCTTGATGAATCCATCCGTTAGCCAACGAGTACCAGGGGTGCTTGGTGTAGCATCTAGGATGGCCGGTGGAGTGTCCCCGTAGGGCACCGATGGTTTCTGGCAGTGAGGTCAGCGGGGCGGCAAGAAGACAGGCCAAGTGACCTTCTGGGTATGGGAGATTTGTCCTTCAGCCGTGATTGCACAAATGATACCTGGTGCGGCCAGCTGGGGGTCACCCAGTGTGCAAGAGGGGGTCACCCAACAAGCACAAGCATACCATGCAGTATAGGCCAGCAGGGGAGGGGGTGTCCCTCAGTCTGAACATAATCGGACACTGTAGGTACAGTGGTGCGGCCAGCTGGGGGTCACCCAGCGTCCAAGAGGGGGTCACCCAACAAGCACAAGCATACCATGCAGTTTAGGCCAGCAGGGGAGGGGGTCACCCTCAGTCTGAACATAATCGGACACTGTAGGTACAGTAGTGCCGAAGTGGTTAGCCGTATAATAAAGTAACCAAACATTGCCGGTCCAGCAGTGTAGACGGCAGGAGGGGGTCACCCTCATATAACCAGAACCGGGCATTGCAGATCCAGCAGTGCTGTAGGTAAGAGGGGGTCACCCTCAGTGTGGTATCATAGAGGTCTGTACACCCAGCAGTGTAGTCAGCGAGGGGGGGTCACCCTCATTATGGTTATAACGGGACCCTGTAGGTCCAGCAGAGTAGTCCACAGGAGGGGGTCACCCTCAGTATCTGCGTATTGCAGGGCACTGTAAGAACAGAAGCTCAATCAGTGGGAGGGGTACCCTCTTTTATGGGAATACCCGGACGCTGCAGGTCCAGCAGTGCAGACTGCAGGAGGGGTACCCCCTCGGTATGATAATAGCAGGACATTGCCGGAGCATTAGTATAGGAAGCAGGAGGGGGTCACCCTCAGCATTAATCTTACAGGACGCTGTAGAGCCAGCAGGGTACTCATAGGTAGCCATGTTGCCAGAGGGAGGGGGTCACCCAGCCCACAATGGTGTCACACGTCCATTATTATGGTCCAGTAGCAGGTAGAGCCCCAGAAATATGGATGGGGGGGTTCACCCCCCAGTAATAACAGGTCTGAATGTGGGGCCAGTAGCCCTGCTGAGGGGTAGGAGGGTCCATATAGCGAGAAGCTGACTCACAGACCACTCAGGTATTATATTAGGATACACTTTTGAAGTGTATGTGTAGTGGAAAATTTAAGTCCCTTGCAGGAAGGGCAGCAAATCCTAGGCAGGGGAGCTAGGTGCTGAAAAACAGGCCATTTAATTTTTATGAGAAAAAGACTGAACCTTAGAGGAAGACTTGATTAGCATATAACACATGTGGCACATTCTTGTTAAACAAAGATTTTTATTTGAGCAGTAACATGTCCCTTTAAATCTGAGATTCACATGCAATAGTAAAAAAAAAAAAAAAGTGTGACAAGTCTACTGCTAAGATAGAGAACCTAGTCACATTGCATCAGACATAGTAAGCTGCAGTTGTGAGCGTGCCTGGGACAGATCCTGCTATCCAGGATCTGTTACATATGCAGCATGTGAGACAGGCACAGTAAGTAGAGGGATAGCTGAAAAACTTGGCTATCTCCCTTGATATAGGGAGAGAGGAGGGTGGCCACATGGCCAGCAGGCCAGTTCTTGTGTGAGACCTTGCTGTTTGCAACACACAGAGCCCATGTGGCTCTGAAAAATGGCTGCCACGACTCCAACAAAATGGCTGCCGTGGCTGCAAAAACAGAGCGCGGCCTACCGCGTGGTGATCGTGCGGCACTGCAAGCGGCCACGGGGAGCAGGTGGGGAATAAGGGAGAAGGGTATGGGCGACAGAGCCCAGCAGGGGAACCCGGGGAGGGGAGGGGGAACAGATTACAGGCAGAGCCAAAGCATCATAGCAGGGGCACCCATTCCCCATACAGCAGAGTGAGAAAACAGAATAAAGTAACCCAGAATAACAATAAATCAATGAGCAGTATCCAGAATCTATCAGATAAATAGCCTAAATACAGCAACAGATGTTAACAAGTGATACAGCAGCTACATAGCATGAAGTGGTATAGGAAATAACACAAAATAAACTGCCTAGCTAAACACAGCAATAGACTGCCTAGATAAACACAGCAATAGACTGCCTAGATAAACACAGCAATAGACTGCCTAGATAAACACAGCAATAGACTGCCTAGATAAACACAGCAATAGACTGCCTAGATAAACACAGCAATAGACTGCCTAGATAAATCAGCAATAGACTGCCTAGCTAAACACAGCCATAGACTGCCTAGCTAAATCCAGCAAGAACCCTGCCTAAATAAAACCAGCAATTAAGCTGCCTAAACAAACCTAGCAAATAGACTGATTAAATAGACTGTTTAAATAAACAAGCAGCATGTAGGATAAAACAACAACCAAGAGCAGAGACAACTCTGAGTTGGTGAGTGCTCACCTGGAGGCAGCAGCAAAGAAAGAGGAAGTGGAAGAGCCTGCTTAGGGGTTTTATACTACTGTTGCTTTGTTCTGATTGGTTGTTTTGAAAAGTTCTGTTAACTGTTTCTTTGCTGCTGGAGGTTTCAGTAAAGAAGGTAAAGCAAATATGAAGCCTCCTGTCCTGCCATAAAATTAGGTTTAAATATAGTGTAGAGACTTAAAAAGCATACCTCATATCCGGAGGAAGGTTCAGGGATACAGTACCTGGGTGAGGCCTCGCTCCTCTGCAGACATAGCAGTTAGACTTGTTATGTTTAGTAGCATTGTATTTCATCCATTCAAGCCACAAGTTAGTGTCAGAGAAACCTGTCTCTACAGCCATAGTATCCTCAAATATGGGATGACTACCATGTCTTTTAAAGTCCTAATGTGTGGTTTGAGGGGATTAACAGTCATGTGCGTGGCACCTACCCATTCAGGTGAGTCATACATGTCATACATGTCCCGTAAGTAAAAGGTCCCCTGTTTATTGTATGAACCTCCTCCCTTCCAATTCAGATTTTATTAGCTGTAATGCTTGGGAGAATAAATTCAAACTTAGTTTCTTACCTTAAAATCATTTGGTACCCCCCTTGACACCCCTATGTCATTAATATATATGTGTGGATAAAACCGCCCTTTATAGGGATGCTCCTTTTTGTCCTGAAACATGAATGTGGTGTGTCAAGAGTACCTTGGTGATTGTCATGTATTATGTGTATAGACATAATAACCTTGGCTAGGGCACATTTATTATTATTCTTAATCTTATAAATCTTGTCTCATGCTACCCTAGTACTGGCAGACTCAGATCATTTAAAAATTCAATATTAATATCACCACAAAGTCAATATAAGCAGATGATCCTGAAGAAGCTTCGACTGTGCGTAGGCACCTCAGCTTCTGGACGTGAGGGCTGCAGGGTAAGGAATATGTCTGTTTCTCTTTAGTTTCACGAGGTCCCCTTTTGGGGTATTCGGGTTTCCATCAATGGCAGGTGGTCAGGCATTATTATGGCCATCAAAACACCCACCTGTTGATATTTTCTCCAACAAGTATCTTTGCTCTCTAAGAATGGAGTTTCAAAAAGGGCTGTCAAGATCAACAAATGCTACTTCCCATGAAGCAGAGGCAGGCTTGATTCTGGAATGATAAATCCACGGGGTGATCTCTGCAACTTTCACGGTGCACTACTCAGCATGTGGTCTTGATTATCACTTTGGTGACTGGGTAGGCCTCTGGCCATCCTGAAAACATGTCTACTATAACTAGTGCATATTTGAATCGACCACTCTTTGGCATCTGAATGTAGTCAACTTGAATCCTCTGGAAGGGATATTGAGGTTTGGCTAGATGCTTGGGGCTTTCCTCCATTCTTCCTGAGTTGCCCTTGACACAAATGGCACAGGATCTGCAGTAACTGTTGGTCAGAGAGGTAATTCCTGGTGCTTCAGAGTATTTGTTGATCAAAAGAGTTCATGAGGGTTCTGGACAGATATGATGCTCCGTAGGCCCACTGGACCACTACTGAGTATATGTTCTTGGGGAAGCAGAACTTGAAATTGTTGGGGAACAGCCCATCTTTAAGGGTTGCCCCTTTCTGTTTCCAGCTTGTGTTTTTTCAGGAGTAGCTGCTTGTTATTCCTTCAGGAGCTTGAGGTCTGTGGGTAGGATCTTACATGGTGAATATGGGAGTTTCTTCAGCGGACACTCTCCTGTCCACTTCCCTTAGTGCACTTACAACTTATTGAACAACTTGGTCAGCCAGATAGTTGCCACATGCTTCCTCTGAGTTCAGTCTTGAACCTTTATCTTCAGTACGGCCTCTTCTTCAGGAAGGTGTAGGGCATCCATCAGCTCCTTGATAGCCGTTCTTTGTTTAGCTGGTGTGCCAGTTGCTGTGAGTAATCTTCTTATCTTCCAGACTGATCCGAAGTCATGTGCCGCGACTAGTGCATATCTCGTGGCAGTGTAGCTATTGGCGTGTCTTCCTTTAAGACCTTGCATGCTGTGGTGAGAGCCTATAGCTCAGCTTCTTATGCAGACATTGTTGAGATAAGATACTTGGTCCACTGTAGGGACAGCAAACCCGGAACAGCTCTGTTATGGTGTGTTGCATCTCCGCCAACTAGAACAGGTCTTCTTCATAATAAGCTTCAGATTCTGGTATATTTCTGAACCACAAGATGCAATGAGGAAAAGGCTGAAAATAATAAAGTCAGTGTCTAGGTCTAAGCCAAGACCTTATCATTTCCCCCCCTGGGAAGTGGCAGAAGAGTGGCCAGGTAAGAGAGTATCATCTCTGCAGGGTGATAGTATCCTGCACAGAATTCGTCTATTACAGGGAGAAGTGGGATATTGCAGGGAGAGTCTCAGGGAGCCAGGGCACCATTTGACACCAGAGCCTTGACCTGTTAGCTTGGACAGGCTTCGGGGTGGGGGGGAGGTACTATGGCTTAAGGGACAGGCTGGCCCCTGGGAGCAACTTCACAGGAACTGGGGGGAAACAGGGAGGTTTACAAAATCTTCGGGGCCTGTATAATTCAGGTAAAGATATTGAGGGAACTAGCTAGGACCCTTGCATCCTGGTCAGGTTTCTCTGTGTGGAGCAGAAGAAATAATTAGCAGAGGGCTGTTTTATCAGCAGCAGAGAGTGGTGCAGACATATGAATCTGACCATCAGGCATAAAGGTGATAGAGGCTTGCAAGTGGGGGAAGGACATCTGCACCTAGCAGATTCATTGGATCGGTAGAGGTAACCAAAAAGCAAGGCTTAGTTAACAGGCTACTCCAAGGAGAGCCATCTACACTTATGCAGGAGACAACAATATTAGACAGGAATGAGGAGTCAGGCAGGCCTTGCTTGCTACAAATAGATTCCATGTGGCCTGCTATACAAGGCCGCATACAGCCGTTGGGTATGGGCCTTATTATGTACTAAAACCAAAGTCAGAGGAAAATTTGGGGCAACCTGAAGTGATACTTCGCCACATATGCTAACTCATCGTGGATGACATTGTTAATACAGGTAGCTTGATTAGCCAATTTATCTTAGGCTTAAACAAGTCACGTCATGTAGTGGAATGGGTCATTAGGTTTCGGGCAATTCTCATATATTATTCCTTTTGTCTTCTGTATATCTAAAACATGTGTATGTCCAGGCGTTGCAATAAACAGTAATCCATTATTGGTCATGATATTAAAATCTCATTCTCATGAATTAAATCAAAGATTTTAATTCAACCCCAGAAGTAACAAGGTTTTCCTTCTGTAAAAAGGATTGGAGTTACTGTATAATCGCGTACACCCAATATAACATACATTGCATGTTCCTAACAACTGCTACATTAGTGTATTTCATTCTGAGACACTTGCAACCATAATGTAAATTTATTTTAATTAATTAACCTAGTACTTTCCTATGACATACATAAAAACAATGATAAAACCAGTACAGACTAACAATTTAAAAACAATGAAAAAAACAGTACAGACTGACAATTTAATAAGACAACAAACAAACATAGATCTCTGGAATCAAATATCTGCAATATCTTAACTAATGTTGGTTATTGCACTAAACACAAATAACTTTAGTAGTTATAGTCTGCCTTTGAATGTTAACTCTGCAGTTTATAGTTGAGACAGTTGGGAGTGGCTCAGGTGTCTGTATCGCTCTTTCACACTGAGTCCTAGAAAAAAAGGAGGGGGTCAAATCTGCACTCCTCTCTCTGCCTCTCACAAGTCAGTTTAACTCCTTCATTTCTGGATACCTCCTTACTTTATCTAAGAATAAAGCAACTTCCTTTAAAGTACTTTTTTCTCTAGCAATTACAATTGCAGTGGGATCTAGATCTTGAAATTGTTTCACAAATTCATTAATTAACTGATCTTCAGGGAAATTAACAAGTCGCACTTTCAAATTTTACAAGAAAACTAAAAATATCCTCATCATTGTATGGATTTAGTTTTTCCAACATTTTAATGTCTGCAAAATCATTCCCTGTTGTTGATTTTATTAATTGCGTTACAATTCAAATAAACATACAAAAGTCAACCAATTCTTTCTACTATTCAACATCCATTAGCCTCTTTCCATATACCAACCTAGTTATTCCAACAAATTCTCCTCTCATCCATTTATCTTATATTTCCAACAAAATCTCACTTGCCTTGTTTGCGTTCCTTACTCCAATATGCCAATAACCTCTTACTTAACAATATATACAATATTACATAAAGTTCTTAACTAGGATATTTGTCCAGCAAAAATCCTTTTTTTTTTTTTCGTTCAGCAGCTAATGGCCAGCAGCTGGAAGATTTCCCTCACATTCCTCACTGAGTTTCACAAGCATATCACCCATTCACCCCCTGTAGCCAATATGTCAGAGCAGTCAAAGCAAGAGAAAGCACACAAGGTTGGGAGTGAGGAAGCACAGTTCTCCTTACGACAAAAGATAGAAGAGGAGAGTGACAAGACGTAGACTAATAGTTACAATTAACATATTTTATACACAAAAAACATATACAGATGAAAGCACAATATACAGATGTAATTAAATCACAAACTCCTTAAAATAAATGCCGGCTAACAATAAATTCAGGTCATACACACACACACACTCAATCACATAGACAATAACTTTTTAACTCTTCACCAAGGATGCTAAAAACACCTAAAACTCTTTACCGAGCTTAGAATACGCTAGATTTTTTTTACCAAACTTAGCTAAAACAACAAAAATACTTTAAAGCTTTTTACCAAGCATAGAATACTCTAGTTTTTTACCAAACGTAGCTAAAACAACAAAAAAGCAAAAACCATTAAACTCTTTACAGAGCATGTTAATGCCAGTTCTTCACCGAACTTGGACTTGGCAAAATATGCCAGCGCTTAACCGAACTTGGCAGTATTAAATAACAATATTAAGCAAGTAGCAAAAGCAGACACTTTCACACATAGAAATCACACTCAGGATGTAGATAGACAATTGACAGGTTCTATTCAAATAAAGGGTACATTTGGGCAAACAATATACCTGTCGGTGGTGTTATCCACGAAAAGCCGGTGCAGACACGGAGTTCAGGCCAAGTCCAAAGACAGGAAAATATAGGTAATTTACTCATTTACCATATGTAGAGGTGATCATGCTCTTTTTTCCAGTCTCTGGGGGTCTCCTCTCCGGTCCTCAAGTCGGCTTCTGTAGCAACACAACCCTTATAGTCCCATCTGGGGTGCCAGTTGTTTTGTATCAAATCAAGCGTTTGATTATTTGTCTATTTACTCCTTTTCAAATTGATTGTGCGCATGTCTTCTAGAAGTAAATCACACCGGACACATTGCAGATTTATGAAATACTTCAGAATGGCCTTTATTCAAGGGGGTGCGATTCCCTTTTAAAGCAGAAATACGTCATGTACAGAGTCACAGTTAACATAAAGTATACATTC